GAAACGAGGTCAAGGATTCGATCGGGAGAGAGAACAAAGAAGTTGTTCGGGTTTCTTTGGATTTAATTTAATTTCTTTCTTCCCCCAACTATCGTTCGTAAGATAAAATTCGATGATGTTGAAGTTTTTTTTTTTATATCTCGTCGAAGATTAGAATTTATAAACTATCAGATAAGTTATAAATATACTCGTCGATAAGTAATAAAGAAAGTATTAATAATCAAGTGAAACAAGTAATTTCAAGGTTCCCCGAGCCATTGTATATAAAAAGATAACGCAACGCAAGGTTCATCGATTGTAGACCAGGTGGAAGTACACGTGGCGATACGCGCAATTGTTTCTGTAGAGAATTAGAGGGACGTCGAAAAATATTCGTGCATCGTAAATTCTATAGTGATCTTATCTAGATACGAAAATTAATTTTCTGAAATCATTAACCGTGAAACGAAAGTTCGAGTGATCCGCGCATCAAACTTCAATTCAATTAGTGGTAATGTTTCACAGAGAGTTTCACGTTCGTTGTATTCATCTAAATAAATTTTCTTTGATTGATCCTAATTAGGATTGTGTCTAAATTAATTTCATATTTACGGATAAAGTAAGATAAAATAAAGATCTGCAATAAAATATCTACGATATTGTACATATCACTATACAAAAGTCACAAAAATACGCTTAAAGATGAAAAAAAAAAAAATGAATCCATTACAAAGTTAATTTCACCATTCCGTTTAATTAAATATCTCATTTGTTGCATCCCATCGAATTTCTCTTATAAATAATTTATCCTCGTATTAAAAACAACAACTTTTTCCAACGAAAATTGATTTCATTTATGACGAATAAACTCAAAGTTTTTCTCCAAGGAATTTCTTCGTTTTTTCATTATTATCGAGTATCTTTCGCACGAAAATTAATTCTTGTAAACGTGAAAAGAGCGAGCGAAATAATGCATCGAGCATCGGAAATACCGATGTCTAAGATCAAACATACGATTAACGGCAAAGTCGGCGAATAAAGAGTCGTTTGTGCCTTCAATCAAGGATGTTGAAAGGTTTACACTTTCTTAGGAAACTGAAATCGCGACGACAGCGCTGTAAAGAGGACCGATTTAAAATTCCATCATGGAAGTCTTTGACAGGTGGCTCCGGGTACGGGGGAAACCGCCACATCTGTCTTCCTTGCGGTGGCTAAAATTTCGTAACCATCACACTGGTTACGCGCAAAAGTTTCACCCGTTTTGTGGACAATCGCGCGAAACGAAGCGGTAGGACGAATTCTGCCCTCGTTTTTGGACCACTCGATGCATTTTGACCCATGGAAACTGGCCAATGGCACGGATACCAAGGTGGGAGGTCCTCGAGGCTTATGACAAAACTTTCGCCGCACTGCGGATTCTATTGATTTTCCTCGCCACGCTACGGGTACGGGCTCAGTGTTCCCGTACGAGCAGGGTGTAAATAAACAAGAAAACTCACCTCCGAAATTATTCAACTTTGTCATTTTATCCATGACTTTTTACCATTTTAATCCCTTGTTCCTTTATTTATTTAACAATTTTTATCCGATTCTTCCTCCCCTTAAGTGAATTTACCAGTTGGCCATTTTCGAATATAATTCGAATTTTTGAAATATTTTAATTTTCGTTTTCTTTTTAGCGTCTTTCTAAACAAAAAAGTAATTAGCTGTCGTCTCGAAATATTCGTGTAAGGAGAGATATCTATTTAATCGTGCCTTTTCGAATGTACAACGGTGGTTCTATCGGTAAAGATTAAATTAAATCCAACAAAACAATATATTCCTGGGACAAAGAACCCATATCTCGTTCCTCTGAATTACAAGCAATTACGATATATATTCATGCTTTCTTTTTTTTTACGTAACGTATCGTTGAATATTATAATCGAATACTCGATGTAGATTATTTAACCTTTGATCAGGCTAATTAACTGTTTCGCGGCATGATTCATACGATAATTCAGAGGAAGCGGAGAAAAGGGTGAGGAAACGCGGCAGGATGATAGAAATCGCGTACCCGAGGCACCGATTCCCAAATCAATCACCCTCTTTTCCAAGGATTAAGAGGGAAGGGGAGAGAGAAAGAGAGAGAGAGAGAGAAAGGGAGCCGGAAGTGTGGATGACAGTCGCGAAGAAAACCACCCCGTGCTAGATCGATCGTGACACCAAAGATGGAAGGATGGGTTGGAGGAGGCTGGTGGCATACGGTGGTTTTAAATTCGTGGTTTTTCCACGTACCTTCGTCTGACGGGTGCGAGACTCCGTCGAAGATCTCCTTGCACACGATCGTGGCTGCGCTTTCCTGAGAAATACTCATGCTAGCACGAACAACCGATTTCCAGGTGCAGGAGGTTCACATAACACGTCAAACGTGGACGTGCCTGGGCCACGGACGATCAACGGAATAGCCGCGTGGACCGATAAACGTCATTTTACTCGCAACGACGAGACGCGTGCACGCGAAACTTTCGCTCCGCCGACGAGGCCTGTCCGACGACAGTCAATGTTCAGTCCGACTTGAATGTAGGCGGTGGAAGAAGGAGCGAGCACGAAGCGTGCAGCGCCCTCGGTAGCCTGACCTCGAACTAGGCCAATGATAAGGAAACGAGTCACAGCCAGCGGCAACTGTCTTATCGATTAACCGAAAAAACACCGATGCCGTTCTTGTTGGCATCGCCGCGCGGGAAATATATCTCGATCCAGGATGCACGAGTTCTGATCTCTTTTTTTTCTTCCTTTTTTTTCACTCCTCTTTTTTTTTTCCCCCAATATTCTAGGTTGATTCGCGTCAAAGAGAATTGGAGTGGAACGCATCGCTTCTGTGTATGGTCTAGGGAATGGAACGATGAGATGAAGATGACTCGTTTGTCACTTTGACTTATTTTTGTCGTTTAGTTTGTCTTTTTTTTAAATGAAATTTAAATTATTATTATTTCTTTTTTTTTTTAATCAATGGATCGTCACTGTACATTATTACATTACGATATTTTAGAATCGTAGAAATGAATCATATTTGTGAAAAGTAGGTCTCATTATTTGGACCTGAATGGTGTTAAAAAATAAAAGAGCTTGTTTTTTTATCGGTTTAATGTGATAGATATTATTAAAAATCAAAGATCCAATAATATTACATATATATTACATATAAATGAATGAATAATGTATCGTTGCACCGACATTTATAAATGCAATCAATTGCTATTGGGAGAATGGATGATACGTATTTTTAGAAATGAATAGAATTATGGATAGAAATCTATATTAATTTTTAAATATTCGATATTTATATTTTATCAATTATCGTCTAAGAACTAGTAAGAACGATCATAGCGCCAATATAACCAACACTAAACTTCTACTAGAGAATAACAGATTTCTTCTTTGTCGGCGGTTTATGATGTGGAAGTTTCCCCCTAGACAATACGTATATTCTTAAATAAAATAAAAAAGAAACATTCTAATTATAGAAATATATTTTTTCTTTCTATCAATAATGCATTAATATTCATATTACTCGTTATTACAAATTGCAAAATTGTATATAATCGAATCGTTATATTTGACCGTTCACCGTAGAGATGGCGCCAATGTATGCTTAAATATCTCTAAAATTCATCTCTTTTACCGTAGATTACTAACGACCGTCTAGTAAATTATTTCATTACCAAATGCACAAATTCTATAAATTGCATTAAACTTTAATCACGTTCATTCAATGAATATTCAATTTTTGCATATTTAAGACGTTTAACTATTTATTTATGCAATATGCGATATTATATTTTGACTTCGTTATGAGAAGTACTTAAATATTTTTTAATATCATTATGCAAATGCATACTAAACTTTGAAACGTAAAATTTTTATTACGAAAACAGGAAAATGTATAAAAAATGGACGCATATTAGTATCGTGAAATTCAATATTATAAATTATTATATTTAATCATTCAATAGAAATTACATATTAATATTCATATTTTTTTAATTTATGAATTAAATTTATAGCGAGAGTTTCTTCTTAAATTTTAAGCAATATAAATTTATAAAATGTAGATAAAAATTTTACACTAGAAGGGCAAAATTCTGAACAATAAAATCCATAAAAATTAGCAATAGAAACAACAAATTGATCGTAATAAATAATAATTTTATAATTCAGATATCGATAAATATCTGTATTTCGTCGATTAATAGCAAATGAAAATCATACAATTTGAAACAAGAACACGGATAAATCATTAATAAAACAAAAAATTCTTTCGCTGAAACACAATTCACTTAAACGCATAAAAATCACACAAAAGATAAAAGAAAATCATAAAACTACAAGAGATAATCTATTTAAAAATGAATAAAAATTTCTGTTTTAAGAAATGTTTTTCACGATACTTTTATTATTCAGACACGTCTTGATTCCGTTTGACTTTACTTAACTTTAGTCTCAAACGATAAATCGTTACGGTGCAATCAACTATATCCAATCTTATTCGCCTGTATACAATAAAGAAGAACCGTAAGGATGATTTTTCTCGAAGGATAGATCGTTTCGAGAAATAAAATTGACTCGAGAAGACGTATCAGACATGCATTGATTCGATGGAAGACCGGTATTTTCAATATCTTTCCCCATTTTCTCCGCGGTACCAGTTACGCGAGAGACTTGTCGCGTTTCCAGCAACAACGAAAATAATGATCGGGCATCGATTGGGACATTTAAATTTCACGCTCTATAGAAAACAACGAAGACCACCGAATCACGGTGTTAACGTTAACGACGCCAGGATTCGGAAGCCGTTTCGTCGAACGCGAAAATTAAATGATAATGATATCCTACACCGACGCTGCGCGAAATACTTATTCGACTCGAGAACATTTTATTTTTTCTTCTCTCTTTGCCCTTTTTCGTCATCCCCTCTTTCTCTCTGATTTCAACTGAGAAACTTCACGTCCTTTTCCTCTTCCCTCCCCCCCCCTCCTTTTTTCCATATTTTCGTCTCAGTTCTGCGTTCGTTTGGTCGGTGCGTTTTTTGTTCTGTAAAAATCCTCGTTAACTCTAATCACGACTCTCGCGTATTATATAGAGTCGGTACCGACTTTTCACTTTTTCCCGGGCTAAATAAATCGTTAGAGGTTGGTTGATGGTGGCCGAGCGCGAGCTAATGGCGCTCCTTTTATTATTCTTTCTCGGTGTTCCCCGACGAATCGTACTATTAATCAACGTTCGAGGAACAATCAACGGATGACACCGTAAAACGAATGTTTAATTGACAGCCACCCCGTGATATCGTAGTTCAAACGAGGCGTTTGTCTTCCCTCTTGCCGGGGACGAACAAAATGGCTGATGAGATGCATATCATAACCGACAAATATTTGCTCGATGCGGCGATATTTTCTTCTCCCTACTTCGATAACGATGTCACGAAATTGAATATTCTCGAATAATATCTCATTGTGTCGTAACATTATGATAACGTTGGAATAACGATACGATAGAGAAATCGTACGATTTAAATCATTTTTCTAACTCTGAAATTTCTTTTTTAGGGTTCTTCCGGAGAGAGAGAGAGAGAGAGAGAGAGAGAGATCGAAATATTGCGACAAAAGCATCATTACGATTTCTTCTAAATCGTAGCTCGATATTTAGAAAAAAAAGAAAAAAAAAAAAGAAAGAAAGAAAAAAGCACACAATGGAAGTGGGATCGGACGTGGAGAAAATCAATCCCGTAGCCATCATGGGAAAACGTAACAACCGAAAAATCACGTACATTACCCGTAACAATAAATTCTATTGGTCGTTAAACCCTCGAACTCGCGCCAGGGGATCCCCTAATCTGACCTAACACCGTAATGTCGTTACCTTGTTAAATAAATGTCGCAGCAGGAGGGTTGCTCGGGGCTGGCCGGCCGGTTTACAAAAGACCAACCCCTAAAAATTGGGCCAACGTCCGCCAACCGTTCAAAATGGTGGACCTATGCGCCGATTGAGAGAAAGCAGAAAGGCACAAAAGGAGAGTGACGTCTCCCGACCGACTGCAATCTTTCTCGGCAATGGCCGATTGCAACCTAACAACCCCCCGACTCGTTTCCCGTTTCAAACACGAGATAATCGGGTGTTGATGAAGTGGAAGCGGCCGCGATTCACGATTTCCAACGTGATTCCGATCTTACGCCTCGTTTGGAGAACGTCGCCCCTTTTGCGCCACGCAAATTTTCATTGGGCGTCTTTTTAAGGTACGTGAATCTTTTCAATTCGGGTTTCGGCTTGCGTGTGTGAGACATATGTTATAGTTGCGCAAGGATTGCTCGAAATGGCTGTTAACATTTTTGTTAATTTTGTTCTCACGATGGAGAGATTTTTAGAAATAGATTTACCAGAAGATTTATATAATCGACTTGATTAACGAATTGCAGCATTTCGACGATTATACGCGTTTTCATTAACAACGGATTAGAAAATAGATAATTACAGGAAAAATTTATTCGTGCTTTGCAGAAATGCAGAATTACGGCAATTTATTGGCAATAATATCAAGTTGTAGAAGTTAATAGATGTGTTCCGTATATTGTTCGTTGTTGTACGATAAAGTACAATCGGAATGACGTGCGTCTGTATCAATAAAAATATTAAAAATGTCCCTCCTAAGTGTTTAACGAAAACGCTTAAAAGTGGAGAAGAAATGCGCCATTGCGACGGCAAGCAAATTCCGTGACTGTTATCTCTCGAATTTTATTCCATTCCTTGGTGTCTCTATTTAAAATAAGTAAGTATCGTATAAATTTATATATCTAATAATGGTTGTATTGCATAAATTAATATCACAATCATTATACATAAATCGAACTGTATTAAAAGTAACTCGATCAAAATTTGTTATTTGATTTTTTGAAAAATGTATTTACATACTTTTGACACCAAAATTTTTTTGAGAAATAAAGTAATAAGTATAAATTTATATCTATAATAGTAATTGTATATTACATAAATTTAGATCTAGTCTATAACTAGGCGATTTAGAACTCAAAACGATCAACTTTATTTCCAAAAAAAATTTTGATGCCAAAAGTATGTGATCATTTTTCAAAAAATCAAATGATAAATTTTGATCGAGTTACTTTTTAAATAATTGTGTTAATTGTTAATTTTAAAATGATAAACGTTCAAATGTTTTTCATAAAATATTCGCCATTATACGTTTGTAAGTAAAAAACTTTCCATTTTACCCGTGAAAAATACTGTTTAGCAAACTCATTGCTCACGTGTCTTCACAACAGTTTCAACAACGGCGTGAATCGATGATTATCGGCGATGACAGTTTTCACAGTTCCGATATAATAACGCAATTCTTCGTCATCCGGTTGAGATGTTTATCCGAAATCCACGTGCACCTGGTAACAGATGTTCGTTTCTCACGTGAGTGACAATCGAGATTTCTATCTATCGCCCTTTGTTTGACGAACAACGTTTGATTTTCATTCGATAATCACGAGATGGTGGACGTTTGAACACGGACTTTATTCGAAAGCTTAGCGATTACA